TGTAGTTGGGAAGATACTGGAGAGTTTAATAAAAGACCACATAGATGAGTTATTGCTGGAAAAAAATATTTTAAGCAACAGACAGCATAAATTCATGAAAGACAGAAACAAATCTGATTTCTTTTTATGAGGAGGTGAGCAAAACCTTGGACAGAGGGGTGGCGGTGAACGTGGTATACTTGGATTTTGCAAAAGCGTTTGAGACAGTTCCCCACACACGGCTAATGTGTAAGGTAAAGTCTACAGGCTTTGAAAAATCCACATGTAAATGAATAGAAAACTGGCTAAAAGCTTGTATTCAAAGAGTAGTGGTTAATGATTCATACTTTGAATGGTCTAGGGTTGCCAGTGGTGTACCCCAAGGTTCAGTGTTGGGACCCTTACTTTAATATAGGTATAAATGATATAGGGTCTGGGATTAAAAATACCATTTCAGTCTTTAAAGATGACACCAAGCTGTGCAGTGGAATAATGTCCTTACAGGATGTCTTCAACTTACAAGCCGACCTCAATGCACTGTTTAATTGGGCAACCGTGTGGCAAATGAGGTTTAATGTTGATAAATGTACGGTTCTGCACTTGGGGGCTAAGAATATGCATGCATCATACATACTAGAGGAAGTACAACTGGTGGACTCCAGAGAGTGAGAGATATCATATTACCCCTGTACAGATCATTAGTAAGACCTAATCTGGAATACGCAGTTCAGTTTTGGGCACAAATTCACAAAAAGAACACTGGGGAACTGGAGAAAGTACAGAGAAGGGCAACCAAACTGATACGAGGCATGGAGAGATCAGCTATGAGGAAAGATTACAGGAACTGAATTTATTCCCTCTTGAGAAGAGGAGATTAAGGGGGGATTGTCAGGGAGCGAGGAGCCAGACACACAAGGAGGTGCAATTAAAAGGTAGGTTTATCAATATAAATATAAGACAAGAGTCTATGCAAGTCCAACAGCGGAAATCGTAGCCAAAGCCGGAATCAAGAGCCAGGAAGAATCGTCGCCAGAGCCAGGATCAGGAGCCAGGAAGAATCGTCACCAGAGCCGGGATCAGGAGCCAGGAAGAATGGTCGCCAGAGCCGGGGTCAGAAGCCAGGAGGAGTCTTAGCCAAAGCCGAGTCAGTATCCAGGAAAGCAATGAGTAGCTAAACAGGAACTTGTTGCTGTGCAAGAGACAGGACACAAATGCAAAGAGCAGCTGCAGACAGCAGGCTTAAATGTGCTAAGCCACCACCTCCTGGAGGAGGAGCCGCAGAGGCTTGAGAGCATAAAGGAACCCACAATGCTTAGAAACCTAAGATGGATGCCAGTACATGGAGCAGCACAAGCTCTGTGGAAAGGTAGGACCTTGACAGGGATATGATCAACATGTATAAATACATCAGTGGTTCATATAGTGAACTCGGTGTAGAGCTATTCACCCTGAGGTCATCACAATGGACAAGGGGACATTCTTTACATCTGGAGGAAAAGAAATGTAATCTCCAAACATGGAAAGGTTTCTTCACAGTGGGAGCTGTGAAAATGTGGAATAGACTCCCTCAGGAGTTTGTTCTGGCGAGCTCGGTGGATTGCTTCAAGAAGGGCCTGGATTCTTTTTTATATACACAGAATATAACTGGACTACTAACATTTATAGGTAAAGTTGATCCAAGGAAAATCTGATTGCCTCTCGGGGGATCAGGAAGGAATTTTTTCCCAGCAGGAGCAAATTGGATCATGCTGTGCTGGTTTTTTTTTTGCCTTCCTCTAGATCAACTGTGGGTATATTATTATAATTTTTTTTAATGGTTCAACAGGATGGACTTTTGTCTTTTTTCAGCCAGACTAACTATGTAACATCTTGCCCATCCTTCAAATATGCCAGCACTTGCGTGACTATAGGCTGCAAGAAAATATCGACATATTCACTTATTCTCAAATGTACTAACCCTCTTACTATGGATCTTCCAGGAGGTTGGGATAAGCTTTTATGTATCTTGGGCAGATAGTAGAATATCGGAATTCTACAACATGAGGGGACAAGGTACTCTGCCTCTTTCCCATTCAATATTTTAGTCTTTTTAGCTTTATTAACCAGGACCTTCAGTTCCTTTATTAACTTCTTTATGGGATCTCCTTTGATCTTTTCATATGTACTTTGGTCACTCAAGATCCTTTTCATCTCCTCTTCATAATCCTTTCTGAGAGCACCACTTCACCACCTTTATCTGCTGGTCATATGACTATATTTTTCCTTTCCTTCAGTTGTTCTATTCCCTGTTGGATACATTTCTCATCCCTTTGTCTTTTATATTAAGGTCTTTCAAGTCCATGTTAACCATTTGTTTAAAGACTTCAATATTCTGCTTGGATTAAATCATCGGATTAAATGTAAATCTATTTTTAAGGCCGCTTTCTATAAAATTATGTTGAATCCCTTCCAAATTAGCTCTAGTAGTGGGTCCAAGAAGTGATGTAAAATATTTCTTCAGATTAAGCTTCCTAACAAATTTATTAAGATCAATGCATGTTTGAAATTTGTTTAGATTAGTCTTCGGTACAAATTTCAACCCCAAATCCAACACCGCTACCTCTTCCTTTGTTATGGGGACTGAACTAATGTTATAGATCCCTTCACCTATGTATCTCTCCTTCTCTTTCTGCCGCTGTTCTCCCCCATTCCTTCCTCCCTTCTTTGCTGAACTCTTCCTGGGCTCCTCCCGTATTCTATTTCTACCCCTCCTTGGTACTGATGGTAATCGTTGGGGGTTCCCCCCCTCTGATAATAATGGTGGTGTTCCCTGTGCTGAGAACTCAGTCTGCTCACATCCAATGATCAAACTTGTGCTGACATGCCCTCCCCTCTGCACATACATTCACTGGGAAGCTCAATGTACTGCATTTTCCCCTTATATAAAAAGGGAAAAAAAGGTATTTAGAATTTTTTAAATATCTATACATACATATTTTGCCTTTCATTTCTATTTTAAACTGAATGTTGTTTTACATATACTTTAAACTGCATTAGGGGCTCTTTACTGTTTGGGCAGTAAAGATGTGGAACTCCTTTCCATAGTTGCAGCTGTCAGCAGAGATTGTAGATAAGTTCAGAAAACTTTTAGATGTGTATCTTAGTGAACACAATGTACAGCGATATGGAAAACAGTAGTCACACAAACACTCAAGTTGAACTGGATGGACCGGTGTCTTTAGTAAACCTTACCAACTATAATGTAACTATGAATTTTTATAATTTGGTTCCAAGACAGAAAATAAACATGGCACATGAGCCATTTGTTGACCTGACAAAGATATTTTTTGCCTCCGATTCATATCAAACTCGGACTGATGAAAAATTTAATGAAAGCGATAAGCAAGGAAGGTGAGGGTTTTGGTTATTTGAGACAGATGTTTTCAAGAATAACTGATGCTAAGGATGTTTAAAGAAAGCATTTTTGTTGGTCCACAGAGTAAATATGCCATCAATGACACGTGGTTCAGAAATTTGTTGGTCAGGCAAAAGAAAATCACCTGGAAAGAGTTCAAGGATGCTGTTGAGAATGTTCTTGGCAAATACAGAGCAGCAAACTGCAGTCAGCTGGGTGATAAACTTCTTACAGCATACAAGAACATGAAGTGCAACATGTCCTTGAAGATTCATTTTCTGCATTCAAACTTGGACTTCTTTCCTGAAAATCTATATGATGAACATAGTGGAAGGTTTCACCAGGACAATGCCACAATGGAAAAATGTTATCAGGGAAGCTGAAATCCATCAATGCTGGCTGACCATTGTTGGACACTGCACTGAGATGCACTGCACACTGACTGTAAACAAATACAGTATTAGCAGCAAAACACTTTTAGCCCTGTTGTTGTAAACATTATGCGATTAAATAGATTATAGTCATTGAAAGTTAATTTCATATTCCTCAAGATTCCTACATGATACATTCTAAAAATATATTTGTATTCAATTTGAAGGAGTCTCTCGTAATCAAAAAATGTTTTCAGGAAGCAAATCTCTTGAAAAAAAAATGTCCAGTTTAATCATATACACCAATCTTCAATTATATTTTTGACAGTTCAAATATGACAATACTTGTAACCTATGAGGATTTAACTTATACTTGTTGATTTTGCAATACTTACTTCCTTTTCAAGGGTTTTATTATGGAAAAGCAATGTTATCCTTTGTATATCCTCTGACTTAAGCCATTGTCTAAAAGATAAAACAAAGAAAACATTTGTATGAATACTATTACTTGAAAAAAAACATTTAATGTACCATAAATAGATAGCTCAAAGAGACAAACATGTTACAGAACTCCACTTCAGTGGGTTGGATCTGATGATGTCTGCCCCCCCACCCCTTCCACGCTATGTTCATATCTGTCCATTTGCCTGTCTGTACTAATTTGTTTTCAGGATAGTTGGCAAAAACCTTGGCCTGCCACATTCCAAAGAATCAGTCCACGGGGGCTTATTTATTTCCACATCCTGCTCTGCACGGTTTGCTACATTTCTTGCATTACTAACTGAATGTAAATATGAATTCAGTGCAGAGAAGCTTTCACAATTCCACTATCATATTCATAATAGATATTGTATGATTTCATAATTGTGGCTTTCAACAACACCACGAGCAACAGGGGTGGACTGACAACTCATGGGGCCCCCGGGCAATAGGGGATCATGGGGCCCCTGTGTCCTTGCCCAAACTCAAAAAAAGCCTATGAAAAAGGTACCAGGGGCATCTCATGGGGCCCCCTACTGACCCCGGGCCCTCAGGCAGTGCCCGAGTTTCCAAATGGTCAGTCCTCCCCTGACGAGCAGTTGTCAATTTTAACAATGTTTTATAGATAGGCTAAAAAAAGCTGACATGACTATAATATATATATATATATATATACATATACACTATATTGCCAAAAGTATTGGGACACCCCTCCAAGTCATTGGATTCAGGTGTTCCAATCACCTCCATGGTCACAGGTGTATAAAATCAAGCACCTAGACATGCAGACTGCTTCTACACACATTTTTGAAAGAATGGGTTGCTCTCAGGAGCTCCGTGAATTCAGGCCTGGTACCATGATGGGTTGCTACCTGTGCAATAAGTCCATCCGTGAAATTTCCTTGCTACTAAATATTCCATGATCAACTGTTAGTGGTATGATAAAGTGGAAGCAACCGGGAACAACAGTTACTTAGCCACAAAGTGGTAGGCCACGTAAAATGACAGAGCGGGGTCAACGCATGCTGAAGAGCAGTGCGCAGAAGTTGTCAACTGTCTGCAGAGTCAATAGCTAAAGACTTCCAAACTTTGTGTAGCTAGACTCTAGAGCAGCGGAAACATGTTCTCTAGAGTGACTAATCATGCTTCTCTGTCTGGGAATCTGGTGGACATGTCTGGGTTTGACGGTTGCCAACAGAACGGTACATGCCTGACTGCATTGTGCAAAGTGTAAAGTTTGGTGTAGGCGGGATTATGGTGTGGGGTTATTTTTCAGGGATTGGGCCTGACCCCTAATTCCAGTGAAGAGAACTCTTAAGGCATCAGCATACCAAGACATTTTTGGACAATTTCATGCTCCCAGCTTTTTGGGAACAGTTTGGGGATGGCCCCTTCCTATTCCAACATGACTGCACATCAGTGCACAAAGGAAGGTCCATAAAGACACGGATGAGTGAGTTTGAGGTAGAGGAACTTGACTGGCCTGCAAACTCAACCCGATAGAACACCTTTGGGATGAATTAGAGCAAGTCAGGCCTTCTTGTCTGACATCAGTGCCTGACCTCACAAATGTGCTTCTGGAAGAATGGTCAAACATTCCCATAGACATGCTCCTAAACCTTGTGGACAGCCTTCCCAGAAGAGTTGAAGCTGTTATAGCTGCAAAGGTTGGGCCAACTCCCAATACTTTTGGCAATATAGTGTGTGTGTGCGTATATATATATATATATGTGTGTGTATGTATATATATATATAAAATATATATACACATACATATACAGTGCCTTGAAAAAGTGTTCATACCTCTTGAAATTTTCCACATTTTGTCATGTTACAACCAAAAACGTAAATGTATTTTATTGGGAGTTTATGTGATAGACCAATATAAAGTGGCACGTAATTGTGAAGTGGAAGGAAATTGATAAATGGTTTTCAACATAACATTACAAATAAATATCTGGAAAGTGTGGCGTGCATTTGTATTCAGCCCCCTGAGTCAATACTTAGTAGAACCACTTTTCGCTGCAATTACAGCTGCAAGTCTTTTTTGGGTATGTCTCTACCAGCTTTGCACATTTAGAGTGAAATTTGTGCCAATTCTTCTTTGCAAAATAGCTCAAACTCTGGCAGACTGGATGGAGAGTGTCTGTGAACAGCAATTTTTAAGTTTTGACACAGATTCTCAATTGGATTTAGGTCTGGACTTTGACTGGGCCAGTCTAACACATGAATAAGCTTTGATCTAAATCATTCCATTGGGAAAGGAGGCGCCACCTGAGTGCAGTATTAATATGAGGGTATTTATTCACATGGCATAAAAAACACAAGATTAATATATACAGTAAAGGCTCATCTGTGTATGAGAGTCCTGGACCACTTGCATTCCTCCCACAGGGACTGCTGGATGGCTCAAATGTTGGACAGGCTTCTGAGACCAATAGAAGGAACGCGTAGCCTGACGGTGTCTGTGCATTTTCCAGCCCTCCCGGTGATGTCACGTCCGCTTGCATTCCACGCAGTTCAGCATGGACTTCCTGGATAGTGCAAGGCGCTTCTGCCTCTCCTACATCTGAGCCATCTGGGTTCCATCCAGCAGTCCCTGTGGGAGGAAGACGAGTGGTCCAGGGCTCTCAGACAGATGAGCTTTTATATATTTTTTAATCTTGTGTTTTTAACGCCATGTAAATAAATACTGCACTCAGGTGGCGACTCCTTTCTCTTCTTCTCATTTATCATTTGAACACAGCTGGCAGCTCTCAGGATGGTGGCCACCCACCTATTTTAATCCTCTACAAAGACTGTACTCTATATTAGAGCATATGGTCACTGCATATACTGTATGTTGTATGATCTTTTGCTACTGGAATACTTATCCCTATGCATCAGGATCATTCTATTTTATTGTAAACCATTCCACTGTAGTTCTGGTTGTATGTTTAGGGTCGTTGTCCTGCTGGAAGGTGAACCTCCGCATCGTCCATTCTAACACATGAATATGCTTTGATCTAAACCAATCCATTGTAGCTCTGGCTTTCGTTGTCCTGCTGGAAGGTGAACCTTTGTCCCGGTCTCCAGTCTTTTGCAGACGCTAAAAGGTTTTCTTCTAAGATTGCCCTGTATTTGGCTCCATCCATCTTCCCATGAACTCTGACTTCCCTGTCCCTGTTGATGAAAATCATCCCCACAACATGATGCTGCCACCACCATGTTTCACGGTGGGGATGGTGTGTTCAGGGTGATATGCTATGTTAGTTTTCCACCACAAGCGTTTTGCATTTAGGCCAAAAAGTTCAATTTTTGTCTGCTGTGTCCCCCACATGGCTTTTACTTTCTGACTGCCTATCACATTTCTTTAGTTGCTAAAATACCAGGACAGTACAAACACCCCCAAATGACCCCTTTTTCGGAAAGTAGACACCCTAAGCTATCTGTTGAGAATAAGAAAGAGTTTGGAATTTTTTTTTTTTTTTTACACAAAGTTGTCACTTAACCACCTCACTACAGGACACTTTTACCCCCTTCCTGCCCAGACCAAATTTCAGCTTTCAGTGCTCTCACACTTTGGATAATTACTCAGTTATGCAACACTGTACCCAAATGAACTGTTTGTCCTTTTTTTTCACACAAATAGAGCTTTCTTTTCTTGATATTTAACCAGCAATGGGTTTTTTATTTTTTGCGCTGTAAATTAAAAAAAACATTTGAAAAGAAAAACACATTTTTGGATCACTATCAGATGTGGATCACTAGCACTGTGACAGATGTGGATCATGGGTACTGTGACAGATGTGGATCACTGGCACTGTAACATATGTGGATCACAGATGTGGATCTCAGGTACGGTGACAGATGTGGATCACAGGTACGGTGACAGATGTGGATCACGGGTACTGTGACAGACGTGGATCACAGGTACGCTGACAGATGTGGATCACTGGCACTGTGACAGATGTGGCTCACAGGTACTGTGACAGATGTGGATCACTAGCACTGTGGCAGATGTGGATCACTGGCACTGTGACAGATGTGGATCACAGATCTGGATCACTGGCACTCTGACATATGTGGATCACTGATGTGGATCACGGGGGCATGGGGACAGATGTGGATCATTGGTACTGTGACAGATGTGGATCACTGGTACTGTGACAGGGTGATGTGTGGGCGATGTGCTTGTGTGTACTTGCGTATCAGCTTTACTTCTCTTTGCTCACGGGCTCTGTGTGAGGAGAGGCAGAGCCGTTCAACTGAATGGCGGCTTTGTTGACATCACATGATGGCTGTGATTGGACACAGCCATCATGTGATCAGAAGGGCCAATCAGAAGGCCCTTCTGCCGAGCAGTGTTGCGCTGTGTCCAAGGGACACAGGCACACCGAGAGTGCGCAGCTGCACGGTCACGAGGCCGTGCTTGTGCGCATGTGCTGAAGGACGTTCCTGAATGTCCACTCACAACGGCGAAGCTCCCACCTGGCCGTTTATGTGCAGTGGCCAGGTGGGAAGCGGTTAAATAATATTCTGCTCACACAAGCCATGGGTATATGTGGAATTACACCCCAAAATACATTCTGCTACTTCTACCGAGTATGGGGATACCACATGTGTGAGTCTTTTTGAGAGCCTAGCCACATACAGGAGCCTGAAATCCAATAACCACTTTGAAAGCCTGAAGGTCTGTAACTTCCTCATTTCACTTCCTCACTACCTATCACAGTTGCAGAGGACCTGAAATGCCAGGATAGCACCCCCCCCCCAATGACCCCTTTTAGGAAAGTAGACACCCCAAGGAATTTAAAAAGAGGCATGGTGAGTATTTTGAAGATCTAATTTTTTCTCACAAGGTTTTGAAATATAAAAATAGAAAAGAAAAAATATGTTTTTGTTTTCTTTCTTCATTTTCCAAAAACTTGTGGCAACAAACGAGATCTGCAAAACACTCAGCATGCTTCTTGTCAAATTCCTTGGGGTGTCTACTTTCCAAAAAGGGGTAATTTGGGGGGGGGGGGGGGGTAGCTATCCTGGCATTTCAGGGCCTCCAAAACTGTAATAGGTAGCCAGGAGGTGTAATGACGAAATAAAGCCCTTTAAAAGCCTGAAGGTGCTTATTGGATTTTGGGGTCCTGTACTTGGCTAGACTGCCACAAATTCTCTCACATGTGGTATCCCCATACTTGGGAGAAGTAGCAGAATGTATTTGGGGAGTAATTCCACATATACCCATGGCATGTGTGAGCAATAAATCATTTAAGAGACAATGTTTTGTATAAAAAAAAAGATTTTTTTTTTTCATTTTCCAAAAACCACACATCATTCACTCTTCTAACCACCTGAAGACAAAGCCTCTGACACTTTTTATTCACATGAAAAAAATCAGTATTGTTTGGTAGGAAATTACTTTGATCCCCAAACATTAAATATTTTTTAAAGCAGACACCCTAGTGAATAAAATGGTGGGTGCTGCAATTTTTTATGTGACATAGTACTCGCGCAGTGATTTTCAAATGCAAATTTTTTTTAAAAATAAACTTTTTTTTTATTTTTAATGCACAAAATCACAATATATTGGCCAATTATTTGGTAAAGTATAAAAGATGACGGTATGCCGAGTAAATATATATCAAACATGACATGCTTGAAAACTGTGCATGTCCTGTGCAATGGCGACAAACTGCATAAATTTTTAATATCCATAGGCAACGCTTTACAAGCTAACATTTTAGATTTACAGAGGAGGTCTAGTGCTAGTATTACTGCTTGATCTGACGTTCGCGGTGATACCTCACACACGTGGGGGGGACGAAGGTGCTTTTTTTTAAGTTAATTTAATTTTTTCATTATTTTTACACTGTCCCTTTCATTTTTTTTTTTTATCACTTTTAATGCTATCACAGTTAAAGCAAATATCCCCTATAACTTCAATGGGCATTGTCATATATTCTTTTTTTTTTTTAGAAATCTGGGGTCTATCAGACTCTAGATATCTCTTCTGCCCTTACATTATCTAATCTCACCAAGATCGGTGTGATCAGATGCTTTCCCAATTTACAAATGGCACTGTTTTTTTTATCATGTGAAACTGACATGATGAAATGCTCGTAGCTTCCGATTTCTTAGACTAGAGAGATGATTGGCACCATTCTGGTCTCCAATCAGCTCTATGGTCAGCTGGCAGAAACACTGGCTGCCTTCTCAGGTTCCCCTGATGACACGGGACTGCTTGAGAAGGTAGTGGAA